ACCAGCCTGGGCTGCTGCAAAGTGATTTCAAGGCCAGCCTGAACTGCACAGTGAAACCCTGTCTTAAAAAAAAAAAGTAACAGAAATAGGGAGATAGACCTTTTGCAAATAGGAAGAGGCTCAAGAGATGGTGGGGAGAAAGAAGCAAGGGGGAGGGAAAGTGAATACATTTAAGATGTCTTTTTTCTTGATCAATTTTGCACACTTGTATCTGGTAATCAGAATGACTGATCTGAAAACAATATGCAGTATAAGAACCATTGTTAAACTCCCTTATTACTTGTTCTCAATCTTACATTCTTATGTCTGTTGGACTGAGCAACTTCGTTGAAGATAACAGTGTGTAATGTAGCAAACATTGGTAATTCCTATCATTTTGCTTTGAGGTTATGTATCGTTTTTGTTGTTTTTGTGTTATTTTGATTTTGTCTTCATTGTTGTTGTTCTTTTTATTTTTAAAATAAAACAGAAAAAAAAGATGTGCTATGAATATGTGCCAACTCCCTGGAAGGAAAGTAATACTGTCAACAGGTGGGTTTTTTTGTTTGTTTGTTTGTTTTGTTTTTGTCTTTTTTGAGACAGGGTCTCGCTATGCAGTTCAGGCTGGCCTTCAACTCACTTTGTAGCCCAGGCTGGCCTCAAAGTCGAAGCGATCCTCCTCCCTCAACATCCCGAGTGCTGGGATTACAGGCATGCACCACCACACCTGGCCTATATATATTTTCTAATCTTTAAGTTTTTAATTCAAAGTACATTTCATTGAAGTTTAATTGCATATTTGCTATATTCTGAGATTTTTATGTATACAACACAATGATTTTTTAATTCCTTAAGACATTTGTTGTGCAGTTTTCCTAGTAGCTCTTGTAATGACCTGGTCTATACACGCTAACCAAAATAAAAACATGAGTAGGTTCTTGGGACACACACCCCCTGGGGGGTGGGGAAAGGGAGGGCACGACAGTGTCTGCTGGGGCTCAGCCCCTTCCGGTTGGCTGAGGGAAAGAGGGCTGGGCCTCTTTGTTTCCCTTCTCACCTCTATCAGTTTTCTCCCATATATAAGCTTTAAGATTTCTGGGCTGGTACAGTGCTACACACCTGTAATCCCAGCTACTCAGGAGGCTAAAGCAGGAGGATTCCAAGTTTGAGGTCAACCTGTGGAGCTCAGTGAGTCC